TTACAACTTGGTCGGTAAGTGAGGAAGTGCTACAGAGCATGCGTACCAGTGCAGGTCTATGTTTGGGGGAATTTCCCCTAACAAAGACAAGCGCAGCAGAGCAGGGAATCCCTCAAATCTATGTTCGGGGAAGTGACAGTTCCCCTTTAACAATGTAAAGCATGGGTCGTCAACCTGGTCCCTACCGCCCACTAGTGGGCGTTTTAGGATTCCAGGTGGGCGGTAGGGATTTCTGAGGCTAAATCCTCTTTTTAAGAGGATTTCTCCTTTTGGGCGGGCGCGAGCGGCTCTGCATGCGCAAGTCTTCAGTGACCGGCAGGAGGAAGCGCTCCCTCCTGCCAGGCCACCTTCTGGACCCCCCGGCATGGCAGCGTTCTAATCAGTCGCGGCGAGGGAGCTCTAACCTCTCTGCTCTGCTCCCTCGCGCGATGTTTGCTGATGCCGCGGGAGCCGGAATATGATGTCATATTCCGGCTCCCGGCATCCGTAGACAGTCCGCGAGGGAGCAGAGCAGAGAGGTTAGAGCTCCCTCGCTGCGTCTGATTAGCCGCCCGCCTAAGTGAAGCCCCACTGGACCCCAGGGACAGATCCACACCAGCTCTCCAGGTAGGGAGGCTGGGTGGATATTTAATATTAATAATTTGTGTGTATATGTGTTTGTCTCTAAGTGTATGTGTGTGTGTGTCTGTAAGTGTATGTGTGTGTGTCTGTAAGTGTATGTGTGTGTGTCTGTAAGTGTATGTGTGTGTGTGTGTCTGTAAGTATATGTGTCTGTGTCTGTAAGTGTATGTGTCTGTGTCTGTAAGTGTATGTGTGTCTGTGGGTCTGTCTGTGTATGTGTGAGTGTCTGTAAGTGCATGTGTGAGTATGTGTATATTTGTGTGTATGTGTTTCTATGTGAGTGTGTGTGTGTGTGTGTATGTGTTTGTCTGTGAGCAGAGTACTTGTAGAATAGAAGAAAGAAGGTGCAGAGTACTTGTAGAATAGAAGAAAGAAGGTGCAGAGTACTTGTAGAATAGGAGAAAGAAGGAGTAGAGTACTTCTAGTATAGGGGAAAGAAGGAGTAGAGTACTTCTAGTATAGGGGAAAGAAGGAGTAGAGTACTTCTAGTATAGAGGAAAGAAGGAGTAGAGTACTTGTAAAAAAGGAGAAGGAAAGAAAAGGAAAAGGAGAGAATTGTTGTTGACTAATAATAGTAAGTGGGCTACCTAGCTCAGCCTTCCTATTGGCCATTGCTATAAGGAAGGTTAAAAAATAGAAAAAAGGGGAAAAAGGTGGGAAGGGGAATTGAGGAGGGAGAGGAGGGGAGCTGACGCACAGATGAGAAATCATTTTATGAGCAAACAAAGAAGTCTTCCGATTATCACTGAAAGAGGAGACCTTCGTTTGTTCCTTATGAAAATCGAACCAGATATCAAATATTTAGTCTCGCAGCATCAACCTCTAGTAAAGGTAAGTTCAATTTACTTTATTGCTTCCTCATTAAACTTTATAAAGTTAAAAACATTATAAACATGCATAAAGTAGAAATAAAAAGATAAATGTACGTTCATTTATGTATTTTTTAAAACACCCTCCTTTCTAAAAAATATTCCGCGCTTGCGCGAAAACTGGTGGGCGGTAAGGAAATTTTTCCATCAAGAAAGATGCATTAGTGGGCGGTAAGTGGAAAAAGGTTGACTACCACTGATGTAAAGGAACATATTTGGGAGGGGGAGGGGGGGGATATTTTTAATATATTACATTTCTGGACCCCATTAAACAACACATAGTTTGAGGGCTAATGGATATAGGTATTAAAACATAATATATTTTGCAATGCCAACCAAAAGAGTAGAAATCAGAAAACAATATTTTTAATTTTGATCTTTCTAAGGAAAAAAAAATGAAACATTAGGACAAAAAAACAAACAAAAAAACCCCATTAATGTAATTACAAAATCATATTTTTGTTTACCTTTTTTAAAAGGAATCCCTATCTTCAATTTTGCCAGTGCACAATACTGAGCTACGCCTTTACATTTATCATTTGCAGCTCTTGAGTCAAATTGGAAAAGACAACAAATAAACAGGAATTTGCAAACCCATCATTATTCCAGTTCTAGGATAAAATGGTTTAAGAAACAACTTTGGTAGTGCAAATAAAAAATGACAGTTTTTGGAACAAACAAGCATAAGTAAATTGCAATTTCAAAAACAATGTCATTGCTTTCCAATTTAACCTAATTTTAAACCACCCTTAATAGGAGCAAAATAAATATCTACTTAGCTTTTTTTTTTCCTACCACATTTTGCTAAATAAATAAAATATTACAGGTGTGTGAGATTTTGGATTATTTGAGAACCTTTAATTTAAGAGCATTAAAAGAGATGCCTTAAATGTAAATTTCAAAAATATTTTTTTTCTAAAGCCATCGCAGCTTACATTTTAACTAAAATAAATAGATGCGCCTTACAGACTTCATAAGGAAAATCATCATTACATAAAAGATTAGCTGCTCTTTGGAGATAGCAAGAGAACCTAAAACAATACAAAAACAAAAAAAACCAGCAATGCAATCCCTATCACAATGAGAACAAGCATTATGGAACAAGAGAGAAAGATGCTGAAAACATTAAAATATTCTAAGTTTCAATATGTCATTTGAAAAGATTCATGAAGCTCAAAATAGCATTTTATAAAACTCGTAGCCATCTATCCATCCATACACTGACCCAGAGGATGTAATTGCTGCAAGTTTTGATTTGCATAATTGAACTGCATTCTGGAAGCATGGTGGAAACACAATCTTAAAAAAAAAAAAAAAATTTCAAGATATTGTTTAATGGTGTATTAAGGAAAATAATAATAATAAAAAAAAAAATAAAGACAATAGAGACAGTCTGTTTTCAAACACTGTTGAACCAAAAGTGCATGTTCATGGCTCGAGGATCGGTCATATACTGAAGGTATACACTTCATTTTTATTCTATTTTTTTTTTTTTTTTAAATACTTCCTTTCAAAACTTGATGAAATGATCACTATAATATTAATTTAAAAAAATTATCTATTTATGTTACAGTTGTCCCTCAAAAGCAGTGGCTTTTTTGTTTAAATATGCCTCATAGTACAACACCCCAGTGAGAATTTATTTAAAATAGTTGGTAATTGTCCCTTTTTGCTCGAAGAACTTTCACTATTAAAATTATAGTTTAAGTACAAAACAACTTTGGCTTAATGAAGCAACTTGGCTGCATAGATCATGCCCTTGCAGTCTCATTGCTCAGTTATTTGTCCTTTAGGAGTTAAATCACTTTATTTATGCAGCATTTATGCCAACAGAAAGCACTGCCCTCTAACTGCTCCCATGTGAGATAAGTGAAGTATTGCATAGGAAGACTTTATAAAACCACCAAAGACTGCAGATCTGGTCTTAATTGCATTATAGAAAACTACCATGTTATTATTGTGAGACACACATAAATAAATAATTTGCAAAAAATCCAATGTTAAACTGCCTAATGTTACACTTAAAAAAAAAAAATATATATATATATATATATATATACACAATTAGCCATTTTCATGATTGTTTTTATAGCTTGCAAATGTGTTTGAGGTATAGTTGCAAAACAGTCATATGAGTAAACGTTCATAATATGTTCTATGCTCCCAGTGCCTACGATGCTTCGTTATGAGAAGTGTTAGAATAGTAATTCCCCAGCATTAACAAACGTACTAAAAAGTTGGATACCCTGATATAGACTGCAGAGGTCAATAACATAAAATACATTTTTTTAAATTAAAAAAAATTAAAAATACGGGTGCCATTTGGGCTTTATGTTTTAGTTTTTTAGAAGCCAGAAAAAAGTTAATGTTTTAAAAACCACTAAAAATGGGTGGAAGACAACCAAAATCAAAACAAATGGCAAAGTAGTCATGATTAATTGCTCACATCAAATGCTACCCTCAACATATAGCCTGTATTGTTCAATAAACAATGGATGTTTAATAAATGATGACTGTATAAACAAAGTATCACATTTCTAATAAATGGTCATTCAGAGAATACATATACCCATATCTTCAATCACTACTCTCAACATACAGCCATTTCCAATTTGTAACAAGGCCCCACGTGGCTACAGGTACACTCCACTCAATACTGTGCCTCAGCTACTATTATTTTCAATATTGCTAAAATTATTAATCAGATATTGGTATTTATTGGCCTTACAGTTCTTATAAGAGTATTACTTATACCAATAAATTGACAGCGGGGATCCCATTTTATTTTCTGCCAGCCCTATCTCAACTAACTGCATACCTGGTCAACGTAAATATGATTTGCTCCAAAGTAAGATATCAGGGTTATTTACTAAAGTGAGAATTCAAAGTGAGTTTCAAATGTAAGGCCAAAGTGCTCAAACTGAAAGCATACCTGGCAGAGGATTTTACCAGTTTGTGTATTTTTACTTTAAAGGAACATTATAGTCACCTAAACAAATTTCACTGCTCAATTCACTGCGATTTAGGAGTTAAATCACTTTGTTTCTGTTTATCCCTTAATCATGGCTCTGATTGACACAGCCTGCATGAGAAAAAAAACTGGTTTCACTTTCAATCAGATGTAATTTACCTTAAATAATTGTATCTCAATCTCTAAATTGAACTTTAATCACATACAGGAGGCTATTGCAGGGTCTAGCAAGCCATTAACATAGCAGGGGATAAGAAAATCTAAAGTAAACAGAAAAAAATGTAGTTTTTTGCATTTTTCCCACACAAACAGCACTTACACTGACGATATAATTGTTGTGATACGTTTTTAAAACACTAATATTTGTGTTCAGTGAAGTCTCCTGAGTATAACAGTACCCCCCATGTACAGGTTTTATGGAGTTTTTAAAAGTTACAGAGTCAAATATAAGGCTTGTGTTTCAGTTTTGTTTTGTTTTTACACTGAAAGTCACCAGATTGGTTACGTTGCCTTTGAGAACCCAAGGTATTGCAAACGGGGTATGTCCAGTCTTTTTTAGTAGCCACTTAGTCACAAACACTGGCCAAATTGGCATTCAAATTAGTTTTTTTGCATTTTTCACACACACAAATATTAACTTTGGCCAGTGTTTGTGACTGAGTGGCTACTAAAAAAAAAGACTGGACATACCCCATTTGCAATACCTTGGGTTGTCTACTTTTGCAAATGGTATGCCATCATGGGGGTAATTCTCATTCCTGGGCTACCATACAGTCTCAAAGGCAACATAACCAATCGGGCAAATTTCAATGAGAAAAAAACTGAAAAACGTAACATGCTATATTTGGGAGGAAAAACAAGGCTAAAAATCCACAATTGGGGGGGAGAGAGACAAAAACCTTTCTAAATTCTAATTAATTTTTTTACCACATATGACAGAATATAACAAACTGCAAGTAAACAAATTGCAATCCCACCTCCCGAGCCCTGTTATTTGTGTAAATACCTGCGGTCCGTACATTATCTGTCGCTCCTGTGTGATTCACAGAATAAGCCTGCGGAATGGGATGCGGATGGTTATAATTGAGAAAATGAAAAGGATACAGCCTTAAAGCTCCGTTCTCAGTCCCAATTGCGAGGATCTTCTGAACCGGATCGAACGCCAGAGCTGATGGCTGGAAAGGGAATCCATGGCGGACCGTCTAACCGAGCAGCAGAGGTCAAAGAGGGCACGGAAAATGAGGGAAGAAAGAAAAAAGAAAGTTAAATTTACACTCTATAGAATTAATCCCAACATATACTTAGCTAGTCATTCAATAGTAGGTTTATCAGGAATTACCACCGAAGGATCCGCCATGACAGTATTCAAACCTCAATGGCAGTTACTGGCAAAAAGAAACAAGGCTGCTGAGATCATGTGATATCAGCAACCAATCAGAATCTGATTTGCTTGGTAGCCTTAACTTTTTAGATTAAGAAAAAAAAAAAAAAAAAAGCAAGTAATGGTTGACAATGATGCCGTAAATCCAAGATAAGCAAATGAAAGGCAGATAAAAAAATAAAATCTTACATTCTGTTTTATTTTTAATAAAAATCTAAAGTAGTTTAAAAATCACAAACACCTTTTCCAACTTATGCTTATGTTTTCACTTTACATTTCTCCTCCATTTTTCGCCATTATTTTTCTCTCGATACCAGCCCAACCAATAGACATCCAAATGTGCTTATTTCAGTGATAACAGGGCTGTCCAACCTGCGGCTCCCCAGATGTTGCTGAACTACAACTCCCACGATTCTTTCAATGAAACAGATAGCCAGGGAAGCATGGGAGTTGTAGTTCAGCAACATCTGGGGGGCCGCAGGTTGGACAGCCCTGAGTTATAGATTATGCTTTGTATTTTTCTGTTTTGACTGTGCTGCAATTTTAACCTATGCATTCACGGTGTTAAAGGATCACTATAGGGTCAGGAACACAAAAATGTATTCCTGACCCTATAGTGTTAACACCACCATCTAGCCCCCCTGGCCTCTCCTTGTCCCCAAAATCTTACTGTATTCAAGCCTGAAGCTGTAACTCTGCATGCTGTAAAACTCAGAAAAACAAGCAGTCTGCTGACATGTGGTAGCCTGATCCAATCACAGTGCTTCCCCATAGGATTGACTGAGACTGACAAAGAGGCAGATCAGGGGCAGAGCCAGAATGATTCAAACACAGCCCTGGCCAATCAGCATCTCCTCATAGAGATTAAATGAATCAATGAATCTCTATGAGGAAAGTTCAGTGTCTGCATGCAGAGGGAGGAGATACTGAATGTGTGGATGCATTTTAGGCAGCCATGACCCAGGAAGGATCTCCAACAGCCATCTAAGGAGTGGCCAGTGTATATAGGCTGTAATGTAAACACCGCATTTTCTCTGAAAAGACAGTGTTTATAGCAAAAAGCCTGAAGGGAATGATTCTACTCACCAGAACAAATTCAATAAACTGTAGTTTTTCTGGTGACTATAGTGTCCCTTTAACTCTACTGATGTATATTTTCCTCTGCATTTGTTACCATTATAATGACAGTTAGGTTTTTACAGTTCTATACGATTAATTTCTGAAGGCAGTGACACAACGATGATCATTAACATCAAAATTGTATAAAATGCATCCTGATTTCAATTTCAGAGCATGAAAACTAATCTCCTTTGTTCCCTTCCAAGATCTGGCCAATGCTCAACAGGCCTCTCCCTTCCTCTCTCCATCTGTAGAGACAGCCAGTCACATCCATGTGTTTGTACGGTCAGTAGGGAGGCTGCACATATACGGATTTACAAAACTGGAAACCAGGCTGTGCATAAACTGATGGCAGAAACAAGTACCGCAGCTGGGAGACCGCCTCCTATGCCACCAATCAGAAACATATCTGATTTTTGTTTTTGAACCTAAACTACATATCCTATAAACCTCTGCTGCACAGTGATTTAATGTGTTACTCCAAACATCAGAACCACGGCAGCTGCTACTAAAGAGCGATGGTGAGAGCCACTAGACGTGGCATTAGGCAGCAGTGTAAACACTACATTTTCTCAGAAAAAGGAGCATTTACACTGCTGATGCTGTAGTGGACATTAAGCTACTGTCCCTTTAACTGCATAATGCTTTTAAAATAAAATCAAAGCAAAAATATGCAGCAAGTGACTTTTTTTTTTTTTTTTAAACAATGAGGGAATTAGTAAGATTTTGTCATGGAATACAGAAAGGCACAAGATGTCACATGTTCTCAATGAAGTCAAAGATCCCTATAAATAGGATTACAGTGATGAAGGTAATTTTGGTAATCTGCCTACAACCTATAACAATCTAACTCAGCTTTAAAGCAAATGTTTTTAGGAAGGTGTAGAATACTGCCATAAGAAAATGATCAATTTCTATAACTAACCCCTATGACTACACGTAATTGGTATCAATGCTACCAAAACACATTACCCAAAGCTCATAGTGAAATGAAATTAAACGATAATAATTGGATTTATATACTGAAATATTGAATATTTTGGATACACTTTTCAAATGATCACAATCGTCATACACCTTAGTCGTGACTTCTACAGATAAATCTTGTGTTTATTTGATAAGCTTATCCAAAAGAATTAAACCAAGACCCAACTACGAAGGAGTTAATGATGATACACAATGAAAGGTTTAATGGATATTTTTGAGAACCCTTAGCCTGCTCAGAACATAATCCAATTTTACAACAAAACACATACTGGCTGACTTAAGCACATTCAAGTAATCTGGGATCTAACATGTCAAAGTGTTTTAGGCTTCTCTACAATGACATCCAACAAGTTTATTCAACCTACAAACAAACTGCAAGTACTAAACTGGGTCTAAGTGATCCGATATGAACCCAATCTGTTCATCTGTCACACATCCGGTGTCCTAAATAGCCAACACTATAAGAGAAGCATCCATTTTCCTTTGGCTGCAGTTTGAAAACAATCGCTACATTCTGCTCATAAATATGTTCAATTCGCAGTCCTTTAATTATTATATTTAACGACAGCCTTGGCCATCTAGAAGAGAACAGGGTTATTCTGGGAAACACACAATTTAAAATGTTTCTAGATTACATAAAAGAATAGGATAGATGGATGGAAAGGCATTACAGCACTTCTGGTATATGACCAATTCATGGAGACTTGAAGGTTGAACATGGTCCTTTGCAATAGGACAGTCTGGAGAGGACAATGCACACTACACTGACATCACCAGAGTAGCCTATCTGAAACCAAGGTGTTGCTTTTCCCCCCTCAAGTCAGATGGGTATTCTTCAGTGCAAACACACACAGTGAAAGGTAGAATGACCTTCAAAGCATCTATGCATCACCCTGTAGTGCAGAGTAGTATTTGGTGCCCGAACCCTCTCCCTTTATTTAGGCAGTAAAAAAAAACTTTATTTCAGAGAAATTGCAGTGTTTGTGCAAAACTTACTTGTTGCGGACAAGTGCAATTTTTAAAAGATGCAACTTTACAGTCTGATTTTTTTTTTTTTTTTTATTTCTTTAGCATTATTTTAATGCATTATCTAAATAACAGATATGCAGCATAACAACTGCAGAAACCAAGTCATAACCACAATTTTTTTTATAGTCACTGAAGAAATAAAGTCCAGGCACCCAAAGGCTTAGATATGCATTTTATTGAACTACATTGTACAGAAGCAACATTTCGGCTAGAATGAAGTTATGGTGCCAAGAGGTCCTTTGTTTTGACTTACCTTTCGAGGTTAAACCGTTTACAATGTTTTAACACCAAAGTCTTTTTTCCCACGCATTTTAACTCTGAATAATCTCAGAAGTAGAAGGACAGCGTCAAACAGGAACCATCAGACAGGGAGAGGGGTGCAGCTGATTGGCTGCAAGCATCAGCTGATGCTCTAAGCCAACCAGTAGCATCCAATAAATAAAAACGGCTTGAAAAATACATGTATATATTTTGTGAGACGCAGGACAGGCACAAAAGCTTCATATTTAAAAACCGCTAAGGAAGCACACCAAGGACCTCCTGGCACCAAAACAACTTAGTTTAGTTAGTATGAAGTTGTTATGGTGCCTAGAGGTTCCCTTTAAAATGTTACTGCAACCACCATGACCACTTCAGTGATATTAAGTAGGTGTGGTACTGCTTGAAACACTGTATATACGGAGCACTTTTGTGCTCGAGGCTACTTGCCCCCCCAGAATTCTGTTTTGGCTGCTAATGTCAATTCTGTGCATTAAAACCATCTGTCATCAGTGCACACTTCCAACAGACAAATATATTCCCCTTGCAGGCAGAGCACTTGGAAGCTAGCAATTATCCCCCTCTCTCCCATGTAGGCGCTCCCTACTAGACAGGCACGGAGCACATACATGCACTCTGAGACAGCAAATTGGTGTGAGAAGCCTGTGAATGGCCCGCCAAGACCCCTGTGACAATGGAGGGAGCGTGGAATTCAGTGCCAGGAGCTTCGCCCAGCGCTGGACTCCAGGTAAGTAAATCTTTAATGCAAATTGAGGGGGAGGAGAGAGGGCTTCCCCATAGTGCATTTTACACAGGAAAGGTTGCACCATAGTGTTAAAGCAAGCTTTTAAGGTACAGTCAATCAATAATACAAAGAGTATAATATGGGGGGCGGAGCCTAGCAGGCAAACAGCACAAACAG